TGCATTCAGTCCCCGGCCTGGTGGCCCAGGCCCAGCCCCAGCCCCTGGCTCTCATCACCCGCCTGATCTAGGTGTGGAGCTCGGGCACAAGTGGAAGCCTCTTGTGCTCCACAGTGCACAGCCCAGGGTCCTTGAGAGCCCCTGAGGGCCGTCCCTCCAAAACCCATGCCCTTTTGGTTTCCTCCAGGCCCTTCTCCCCTCAGCCCCACTACTCGCCCGTCTCCTCTCACAAGGGTTGAAAGAACATCTCAAGGAGGGGCCGGTGCTGTGGCGTACCAGGTAAAGCTGCCATCTGCAGTGCCAGCATCCCATATGGGTGCTGGTTCGAGTCCCAGCGGCTCCTCTTCCAATCCAGCTCTTCGCTGTGGCCTGGGAAAGCAGCAGAAGATGGCCCAAGTGCTTGGGCCCCTGCACCCACGTGAGAGACCCGGAAGAGGCTCCTGGCTCCTGGCTTCGGATCGCCATAGCTCTGGCCATTGGGGAGTGAACCAGTGGATGGAACACCTCTCTCTCTCTCTCTCTCTCTCTTTCTCTCTCTCTCTCTCTTTCTCTCTCTCACTCTCCTTCTCTCTGTGCAACTCTTTCAAATAAATAAATAAATCTTTAAAAAAGAAAAGAACGTCTCAAGGGACTCTGCCCCCTCGCAGCCACTTCCGCCCCCTTGGATGTCAGCCACCCTGACTGCCCATGCGAGGATTTCATTTCACCCGGGTGGGAACCTCCCAGGGCGGGCAGCAGCCACGTGGACTCCGGCATCCAGCATCTGTCTCCCACTGCCGTGTGTGGAGTTACTCGCATGGGTGCGTCTGGTCCTTGGGTGTTTCCAGTTTGGGGTTGTCCCATGTGGCGCTGCCTTGGACACCCTCATATGTAATCCTTAATTCACAGTCTCTGGGTCGTGGGGCAGACATACACGCCAGATTCGCAGGTTCTGCACCAAGTTTTGCCATCTGACATTCCCGCCTGCATCTCATGAGTTCCTGTTTCTGTGCTCCCCGCCGGCTGGGCTGGGGCTGCATAGATTGCTGCACCCAGCTCTTATTTCAAGCTACTAACTGTGAAGGAAAAGTTCCATCAGCAGAGTCTCACTTCTCTTTAAAATTCAGAGTCATTCATTAAAACTTCAAGCACAAGTGTGATCCCTCTCAGTGCGATCATTCCCAGCGTCCAGGGATCGGCACATCTGTTACTTTACAATTACTTAAAATCTATCCTTGTGCATAGTTGCCGTTCCTACTGGAGCCCTATATCACAGGGTGTTTTCCTGATCCCAAATGCTTGGGTCCAGAGGTGCCCCTATCTAAGGGTTTTTTCAGTTTGGAATATGGTATATACCTCGTGAGATAGCTTGGGAGTGAGACTCCAGTCTAAACATGAGATTCGTGTCTGTTTCCTAGAGCCTTCTGCACACAGCCTGAAGGTGGTTTACTACAATATTCGTGGCACACCTGTGCTTTGACTGCACCCCATCACGTGAGATCAGGCATGGGCTTTTCCACCGTGGTGTCATGTCAGCCCTCAGAAAGTTTCGGATATTGGAGCGTTTTGGGTTCCTAGTTTCCGGATTCACTGTGCTCGAGCTGTAATTTGGTGGTAGACAGCAAAGCTGAGGGTGAAACCCAAGCCTTCTGAGTATCTCCCATTAGGTGATGGCTTGGAGGGGAAGAAGTGACCAACACAGGAAAGACACCCGCCACTATTTTGTGCCTACCAGTTGTGAAGTTCTGAATAACCCACTTTTTTTTTATTTTAGATTTCTTTATTTGAAAGTCAGAGTTACACACAGAGAGGAAGAGAGAGGTCTTTCAGCCACTGGTTCACTCCCAATTGGCTGCAATGGCCAGAGCTGCGCTGATCTGAAGCCAGGAGCCAGGAGCATCTTCCAGGTCTCTCACGTGGGTGCAGGGGCCCAAGGACCTGGGCCATCTTCTACTGCTTTCCCAGGCCATAGCAGAGAGCTGGATCAGAAGTGGAGCAGCTGGGACTCGAACCAGCACCCATATGGAATGCTGGCACTGCAGGCGGCGGCTTTACCGGCTACGCCACGGCGCCAGCCCCAAATAACCCACTTTTATTGTGGCCTTTCCCCATGCCTTCAAGAACTAGTTAACCACCCTTGGTTTAACACCATTTAATATATGCCATAGTGGCTTTTAAACAAGTCAACTTTTAATATCCCAACTGCCTAAATTTGGCCAGATTTGTCAATAGAACACTAGTGAAAATAATGACAATTTCCATTGACCTTTGTGTGCGCTATAGGAAAGTCTGTTTGCCCAGGAATTCGTGCTGATATTTACCTTAAAACATCCAGCCTCTTGAAGCAACACAGAGCACACTGTGTCCAAAATATTTCTAAGCCCCAGGCCAGTCACGCTTGGAAACAGCTGCCACCATGCCGCAGGACCGCTGCCTGCAGCCCTGGCTATAACAGGATCTGACCTGCTCCTCTCTGGATTCTTAAGAATGTTCTCCGATGTAGGCCAAGGTCAGGTATGGTAAATATAGTGGCTTCCAGAGCAAAATAGATTCCACTTCCCAGCAGGCGTGGCTGCGGCACTTTTCCATTTTTGACAACGGTCGGTGGCAGGCTGGAGGATTGCAGGGAGCATTGTGCGAGGCCGTGGCGTGGCGGGTGGGCGGCCTGCTGAACACAGCAGCGCCCCAGAGTCGAGAACCAGGTTCCTGGGCGCTGGCCGGGGCACTGGGGTCTTCACCTGTCAATGGAAAGACTGGCAGAGCGCTTGCAGCTGCCCAGGCCTGGGCAACCGGGATGAGCCTGGGAGCCCAGATCTCCTCGATTATGGACCGACTGGGGCCAGGTCGCCTTGTGCCAAGGTCACAATTCCCTCCTTTTCAGTCATGTGACGTGGACCCATCCGTGCCCCCTCTCTGAGCCTCAGTTTCCTTCCTGGTACAACCCAGAATGATAGTACCGACGCCACAGGCTGTCAGGTGGCATTTAGGGAGCCCGCGTGGGAGACAGATGGTCAGCAAGCAGCTGTGCCCACCTTCTCCTCTCCCCACAGCCCGCCCCTGTGTCCCGCGCCACAGCCTCTGCCCCAGCCCGGTCCTGCCCACCCCCGCAGTGCCTAGAGCCCACGCTCGACTCCTCTGCCCCAAAGCAGCATCTGGTCCTAGAAATCCTATTCCACCTGTCACAGTGGGAACCGCCCGCCCCGTTGATGGCGTTTACTTGAGTGACTTCCTGGGATCAGCACGTTAACAATGGGGGTGGCGGCATGTCAGGGCCCAGGGCACAATCCGTGCTTTAAATATGGCAGCGCTTCAGGAAGAACTCCCCTTCCTTCCTTCCTTTCTTCCTTCCTTCCTTCCTTCCTTCCTTCCTTCCTTCCTTCCCTCTTTCTTTCATTTTATTTATTTATTTATGTATTTATTATTTATTTATTTGAAAAGCAGAGTTAAAGAGAGGCAGATGGGGTGGAGGGGAGATCTTCCATCTGTTGGTTCACTCCTCAAATGGCCGCAGTGGCTGGAACTGTGGTGATCCAAGGCCAGGAGCCAGGAGCTTCTTCCAGGTCTCCAACGCGGGTGCAGGGGCCCAAAGACTTGGGCCATCTTCTACTGCTTTCCCAGGCCATAGAAGAGAGCTGGATTGGAAGTGGAGCAGCCTGGACTTGAACCAGCACCCATATGGGATGCCGGCGCTCCAGGCAGCAGCTTTATCCACTAAGCCATCGCGCTGGGCCCCTCCATTTCTTTCTGATGCTAGAAGAAGAGGCATTTGTCATGATTTCTACTCCGTGTACAGTCAGCTCTGCATGTCCACAGCCTCCTCTCCATGTCCACAGAGACAGCCATATGCAAGTGGAAGATATTTGGAGAAACAAAATTGGGTCTGAACTGAACCCGTGCAGACTCTTTGCCTTGTCACTATTTCCCAGACAATACAGGGTAACTGTGCTTGACACTGCATGCACACCGTATTGGGCATTGCAAGTCAGCCAGAGAGGATTCAAGGCCTATGGGGACATGTGCATAGGTTCCCGGCAAAGGCTGTGCCCTTTTATAGAAGGAACCCGAGCAGCTACAGATTTGGGCACTGGGGGGGAGGGCAGGTCCAGAACCAGTGCACCGTGGGTATGCAGCACCACTGTCTATTGTGCGTGGAAGCAACTGGTCCCCCCGCCACAGTTCACTTGGTTTCCCGATCTCTTTCCTCTGGGTGAAGTACCTCCTCTTTTCAAAGCCACCTCAGGAGTGTTGCCGCTGGCTGAAGTCTTCGAGCTGGGATTCTTGTTTGCTTCTCCCATCAGCCACCCTCCAAATTCTTTTTGGAAGTAGGTGGAGCCTAGAAGAAAAAATTGGTAAACAGAGTTCTCTCTCTGGTCTCGTGGAGACAGGCCTTGGTCTCTCCAGGCGGCTTCCCGGCTCCCAAGCTGTAATTATTGGTTGCTTTTTTGAGTGTCTCTCTGCACTGAGAGTCTTTCCTTGTTCTAAACCCATCTGGGATGCCTCTGGACCCAGGAATGAAGGGGACTCTTCGTTCCTCTAAGGAGGAGGCGGCTTCAGCTAAGGAGACGCTCCAGGGCCGCCTGCAGGCTGCGGCAGGGAGGACCGCTGGCAGCTGTGGCCCAGCCTCCTGCATGCGGGGTTCGAGACGTCCCGTCTCCAGCCTGCAGACCCCTTCTCTCCCTGAGCCCTGGTCCAGATCCTGCAGGCGCGAGAACCTTGGGATGGGGCATCTTCAGTGGTTTCATCAGCCACCAAGGACCCCTAACGTCATGGGATTTGGGTGGGGCCCCAAGCTGCTCCTCACGCATGGAAGAGAGGCCTGTCTCTCGTGGATCCCACGAGCTCATCTGCATGACAGCAGATCTGCTGTCATGAGGAAGGAGGAAGGGGTGGGGTTTAAGCAGGAGACTCTGCAACCTTTGCTCTTTAATAACAATAGTGATGACGACAACATTTATTGAGTGCTTTGCACGCCCTAATTCATTTCACTGTCACAAAGACCCTAAGAAGCAGGTACCACTACTCTCCCCATTCCACAGGACAGAGAATTGAGGCTGAGAGGGGTAAAGAAGTTCCTGTGAATTAGTAACAGAGATTCAAACCCAGATCTGACTGGCCCCGGAAGCCTCACTTTCAACAACTGTCCACTTTGCCCTGAGCTTCGAGGTTGACCTGTCGCTCTTCAGGGCCTTTGGTGCCCACATTACCCCAGGGAATCCTGTGTGCATGGTCAGATGAGGGGGCACAGAGGGGACAGTGGGTCCAAAGGCAGGCTCCGGGGCCAGATGGTTCAGGTTTGGACCCATTTCCCATGCATGACTGTGGATAAGGTGCTTAACCTTCTGTCTTCCTGTCCAGGCACAGGGGTTGAGATCCTGACCAGGCTGCAGCGGTGATGAGAGACGAGTCCATGCAGGTGAGGCACACAGCTGGAGTTTGTCACCACGGAAGAGCTCCAGCTGCCCACTCTGCACCGCCACCCGGATGTCCCATCCACAACTCAAGTCTGCCATTGCCAAAGCTGAGCTCGCCGCCTCCTCCCCAAACCTGCTCTCCTCCCAAGAAGATCTTATTATGTAAATAACACTTTTTGTGCCTTTTGCTTAAGAGATGTTGCTGAGAAAGGCATTTTGGAATGGACTTGAGATGTCCTGACCTCTTCCAAAATAACACAGAGGAAAAGGTCAGAAATGCAAAGGAGACCCTTCCGAATTAAGAGGTCGGAACAAGCATCTGGTGCAGCCCCTTAGGAGGACGCTACACCACGAGCATGATGGGATTTTTTTTTTTTTGGACAGGCAGAGTGGACAGTGAGACAGAGACAGAGAGAAAGGTCTTCCTTTGCTGTTGCTTCACCCTCCAATGGCCGCCGCAGCCAGCGCGCTGCGGCCGGCGCACCGCGCTGATCCGATGGCAGGAGCCAGGTGCTTCTCCTGGTCTCCCATGGGGTGCAGGGCCCAAGCACCTGGGCCATCCTCCACTGCCTTCCCGGGCCACAGCAGAGAGCTGGCCTGGAAGAGGGGCAACCGGGACAGAATCCGGTGCCCCAACCGGGACTAGAACCTGGTGTGCCGGCGCCGCAAAGCGGAGGATTAGCCTAGTGAGCCATGGCGCCGACTGCGATGGGATTTTTAAAGACATAAATCTACAAGGGAAAACGAAACATGAAAATAACCACTATGCTGATGAATGAGAAGGAACCAACAGACCTGAATTCCAGCCTACCACTGGGAAAATCCAGGAACCCACTGGATACGTTCAAGAGAAGGCTCAGGAAATCTCGGGAACCCATGGCACCAGATGCTCCTGAGACTGAGAGTAAAGTCGTGCGGAGTATCGGATTAATTGAAATCTGTTTGGAAGAGGTTGGACGCCTGGGTCCCGTCTCCAGCTCCACACTGCTGGGTGACTGCTCTGCTCCCACTCTGGAAGAGGACTGACCATTTGCTTTCTAGGGAGGGTAAGACATAGGGACTCTGGATTGTGTGACATCAGGCCAGACTGAGCCCAAGGGCACTGCACTGGAAACAGGAGGATTCGGAGACGGTGGATGTGTTGGACATTGAAACACACCCTGTTCCCCTTCTTCTGTCGCACCCCCAGAATGCTGGCTCCTGGGCCTTTGCCCTGCACACAGAGAATTGGGAGAATCTCTGCTAAATCTAGAAGCCCAGATGAAAAGACGTGGAGAAGTTGACATAGGAGCTCCCCCAACAGCTGCTGCAGCCTAGCACCTCACAATGAAGCTCAAGGAAGTTCCTCCCATTCGGACGGCTGCAGACGCACAGACAGGCAGGGAAAGCCTCTGCTAGGAAAGTCAGAGGATAAAGCAAACAAGTAAGGGAAACTTAGAGGGAAAGAAATTATGCAAAGAGAAGAAAATTTCCAAAAAGTATCACTAATAGCCTCTGAGAGGTAAGACAACATACTGCATGCATGAAACAAGAACAGAGTGCTGTAAAACAAGAACACTTACAGAACAAAAAGTATTACTGGAAAATTAAAAATGTGAACATAAAAAGAACAATTTTATAGGAATACTGAAAAATCAAATTGAGGAAAATATTCCCAAAATAATTCTGAAAAAAAGGCAATAATTAGAAAATCATCCCAAGAAATTCAACATGCAAATAAGAACAGTACCAAAAAAAAAAAGAATAGTGAAAATGGAGAGGAGAGAAGATTCATCAACAAAAAGACACAAGAGGGGCCAGTGCTGTGGCATAGCCAGTAAAGCCACCGCCTATAGTGCCGACATCCCACATGGGTGCCCGTTCGAGTCCTGGCTGTTCCACTTCCAATCCAGCTCTCTGCTATGGCTTTGGAAAGCAGTGAAAGATGGCCCAAGTTCTTGGGTCCCTGCACCCACGTGAAAGACTCGGAAGAAGCTCCTGGCTCCTGGCTTCAGATCGGCTCAGCTCTGGCTGTTGTGGGCATTTGGGGAGTGAACCAGAGGATGGAAGACCTCTCTTTCTGTCTCTCCCTCTCACTGTCTATAACTCTGTCTCTCAAATAAATAAATAAAATCTTTTAAAAAAAGGAATAGAATAATTTAGACAAGCAAATTCTCAAAATTTTACCTTCTACATTCTTTTCCCTCAAAGCCATTGAGAGATAGGCTCTATGAAATGAGAGAGCAAACTAAAAAGACAAAAATAACCCACATTCCATAGTGTTAGCTTCTTAGGGCTGCCGTGACAACCTGGAGAAGCATCCCATTATCCATGGGCTAAACCTCCCAACATCCTGTGGGAGCCTAACAGTGCTGAACCCTGTACACACCATGTTCTGTGCTTGCCACAGATAGGAGCAACCCCCACATGGGATGTGTCTTCTTTCTCTGTTGAGATCATTCATCTTTTCAGTTATAAAGGAAGCACTTTAGAGCTTGTCCTTGGCATACCTGAAACACAAGAACTACGACTCTTGCACTTTGAGGCCACTATTAAGTAAAATAAGACTCCGCTGTGATGCTGCGCTGGTAGATTTGATGACTGAGTGACTGAGGGACTGGGAGTGTGTAGGGTGCACAGACCCTGGGCAGGGGGATAACACATCTGGTGTGGGACAGCGCAGGTCTTTGCAGAATTTCATCTCACTACCCAGAACCCTGTGCAATGACTTGTTTCTTTCTGGAAGGTTGCATTTGTATCTTTGCACTGCAGTAGACCATGGGTAACTGAATGATGTAAAATGAGGACAGAGATAGGGGAGGGCCACAGTAGCAAAAACTGGGTAGTTTACAAGAGAAATGTGTTGTCTCATAGTTCTGGAGGCCAGAGGCCCAACAGCACAGTACCTGCAGGCCCATGCTCCCTCCAGGGAGGGTCCTTGCTTCTTCAAGTTTCTGCTGTATATAGGTGTCTGGCTTGTGGCAGCCGAAGTTGTCTGCCTATGTTGTCATGAGGCTGTCTTCCCCCTGCATAGCTATCTCTGTGTCTCTTGCTTTTCTTCCAGTAAGTCCCTCAGGCATGTTGGATGAAAAAAGAGCCCATCCTACAGTTGTGTGACCTCACCTTAACTAATTATAACCATCCTCTTTCCAAATGACGTCATATTCTGAGGTTCTGGAAAAGACCTGAAGTCTTGCGAGACGAGATTTAATCCAGGAGCAGGTGCAGAAACCAGAGGTGAGAGGAACTCTCAGAACAAGGATGAAGGATTAGCCCAGCTGGCAGCACGCACAGGGGTAACCAGGTCAGACTGTGCTGGTGAGCTGCTCTTCAGGAAGCAGACATAATGACTGTTTATCAAGCTAAAAGTGCAACAGAAGCGCAGGGAGCGGCTAGGGACCGGGACGCCAAAGTGGAGGGAGGAAGCAGTTAAGTCCTTAACATCCATGGCGGCAAATTCATGGGTAACACCCACACTGGAAAAGCAGGAAGCAGCTGCGAGCATATATGGAGACAGGCGGTAAATATTAAAAGATGGAAAACGTTGTTCCCCCAGAAGGGGAAAGGGAGGGGAGGAAGACTAGTGAATGTTGTTTGTCTTCACAGACCTGGTAGAACCAGTTGAACTATGTGTATTTATAACCTCAACTAGGAAAAAAGTCAAAAGAAGAGCAAAGGCACAGTTTGGGCCAAAGCACCAACAGCTCTGTGCACCGTGCACCACGCCATATGCATGTTTTATAGCTAGAGTTGGCCTACGGCAATGGCTCTCTCTCACACAGTACACCTGCCTGCCTCTGGGGACATCTGCCTATGTCTGAAGGCATTTTTCATACTCACACCTGGAGTAGGAGTGCTTCCAACCTTTGGGAGGTAGAAGCCAGAGATGCTGTTGAACACCCTACGATGCCCAGGACAGCCCGGCAGCACAGAACTATCTGATCCAAAATACCTACAGTGCCGAACTTGAGAAATCCTTGTGGAACAGGTGTGTGGACTGCAGACTGCAGGTAAACTAACCTTTTCTTTTTTTTAAGATTTATTTATCTGAAAGGCAGAATTACACAGGGGCAAAGGCAAAGAGAGAGAGAGGTTTTCCATCTGCAGGTTTACTCCTAAATGGCCACAATGGCCAGAGCTGCACCGATCCAAAGCCAGGAGCCAGGAGCTTCTTCCAGGTCTCCCACATGGGTACAGAGGTCCAAGGACTTGGGCCACCATCTACTGCTTTCCCAGGCTACAGCAAAGAGCTGGATGGGCAGTAGAGCAGCAGGGACTCGAACCGGAACCCATCTGGGATGCTGGCACTGCAGACAGCAGCTTTACCTGCTACGCCACAGCGCAAGTCCACTGCAGGATTTTGTGTAAGGGGCCTGGGCTTCTGCAGAGTCCAGGATCGGGGTTGGGGGGAGGGTAAGGGTGGTCATTGAACCGCTCCCCTGTGTACACTGAGGGATGGGTGGCAGCAACACAGGAGTGATAAAATAGGCAGTAAGAGGCCAGTGCCGTGGCTCACTAGGCTAATCCTCTGCCTGTGGCGCCGGCACCCCGGATTCTAGTCCCGGTTGGGCACCGGATTCTGACCCAGTTGCTCCTCTTCCAGGCCAGCTCTCTGCTGTGGCCCGGGAGTACAGTGGAGGATGGCCCAAGTGCTTGGGCCCTGCACCCGCATGGGAGACCAGGAGAAGCACCTGGCTCCTGGCTTTGGATCGACACAGCACGCCGGCCGCAGCAGCCACTTGGGGGGTGAACCAACAGAAAAAGGAAGACCTTTCTCTCTGTCTCTCTCTCTCTCTCTCATTGTCTAACTCTGCCTGCCCAAGAAAAATAAATAAATAAATAAATAAATAGGCAGTGAGAAAGACACAGAAATAGCAACAGCAAACCCAAAGTAGATACCGAGAGGTAAGATGTTGGTGGATTGAGCAAGGTCTAGAGGAAAAAACTCCAGCAGGGGCCGGCATGGTGGTGCAGCAGGTTAAGCCACCACCTAAGACACCTGCACCCTATACTGGAGTGGTGACTGAGCCCGCCTGCTCTGCTTCCGAATCCAGCTCCCTACTAATGCATCTGGGAAGGCAGCGGAAGACGACCAAGTGCTTGGGTTCCTGCCACCCACATGGGAGACGTGGATGGAGCTTCTGGATCCTGGATCCTGGCTTCAGTTTGGTCTAGATCTGGTTGTTGCTGGCATGTGGGGAGTAAACCAGTGTGGACGGGATATCTCTCTCGCTCTCTCTCTTTTCTCTCTCTGTCATTCTGCCTTTCAAATAAACAAAGATATCTTTCAAAAATTTTTCAAACAAAGGCGGCATGGGTCCTCTGTTATCAGGTAGACCGTGGTATGTGTGAGAAAATGCGGGGCCCGAGGATGAGCGCAGATACATTGGGAAAGACACACAGACGAACTGTCGCTCACCCTCTTCGCGGAGGAACGACACCAAACCCTGCCTAGGCTTCATATCCGAGTCACGGCACCATTATGTCGCTCCCCGTCTTCGTGGAGGAACGACACAGGACCCTGCGCTGTTCTTTTGTCTGCTCGGCCCTCCCCGGGTTTGCTGCTGGTTCTTCCCAGGTTGGCTACCGTCCCTTCCACCTCCGTGGAAGGGCGGTTCCCCCTGCCACTTTCCCCACTTCCGCGGGGGAGCGGCACACCGCTGGCCGGCTCTCTTGGGGGCTGCACAGGTGTTCCTTCAGATAGATGTTCCTGGTGCATGTTGTCTCTCTCCTCCTTTATAATCCTCTTCCGCCAATCCCAACTCTGCTACCCACACGCCGAGTACGCTGCTCTCCTCCAATCAGGAGCAGGTCCTACAGTTTATTGGTTGAACTGGAGGCAGCTGTGTAGAAGCTGTTACTCCCTTCTCAGCGCCATATTGTGGGAGAGCAGATGCATAGAATAAGTCTTAATTCCAGTAACAGTCTAGTCCGAATTGCTCCCCACAACGAACCAGGCGCGATGCCGGGAGTATTCCGAGGGTGGAAAATGTGCATTATGAAAAGCTAGGGCCACATTTCAAAATCATTTTGCATCAAAGTAAAGGTCTCCTTTATTTCCCTCTTTTCCACGAACTCTTCAAAGCAGCCTCACAGTACGAGGGGGAAGCTGACTACTACAAAGCCCTGGTGACTTCAGCCACGGTCACAGAGCCCCTGTTCCAGCCTGGCCCTGTCTGCCCGGGTGGTCCTGGATGCCCAATTAATGCCAACTGTGTCCGGTGTTTTATCCACATCCAATCAGAAACGCTTTTCCCCGTGGGGAGAGGGGCTCCCAGAGTTGCCGTGGGTTCCCGGGGGTCCAGCCAGGACAGGGCAGGGCGGGAGGAGGCTCCACACAACAGCTCTTGGCACAACACTTATTTACATGCCTGGGGACACTTGCGATTTTTGCCCCTCTGTCTTCTCACCAGGAACTCTGCCAGTGTCACCCTGCCACTCCTGAACCTCGATGCTGTGTGTTTTATCGGGAGGATCCGGGAGCCCCCAGAGGGGCCGGCTGCAGGAGTGATAGATCGGAAGCTCTTCATTCTCTTTGTCCCCTGGTTGTGCCGCGATTCTGTCTGGTGCTGCCCTTCCTTCTCTCTGCAGGACCCTACACACCCCATCCCCCAGAGCTGGCCAGAGCACAGCATTGTGTCTCAGCCCCATTCACCCTGGAAACTGTTGAGTCTGCCCTGACACGGACCCCCATGACGGAGCTGTGCCGCTGTTCGAAGCAGCCAGCCCCAGGGCCTTCCGGAAATTGCTGACATTCGTGCAACCTCTGCCTGACCTGGCGAGCCCCGCGGGACTTAGCACCCCAGTAAGTTTTCAGTTAATAGCTAAGAAAGATAGATACTTCCTTCTTGCTATGTAGAATAAACTGTGGGGGTGGGAGGGCCAGGGAATGGGTGGGGAGACCACATCTTTTCTTCTTTGTGGTTAAAGATAACTATTCTCATATTATTTTGGGCTCATTTGGTTTAAGTAGCATAGATCCAATTCCAACTGAATTTGGCAAAAAGAGGAGTTTTATAACAGGGTATTGAAGTTGCTCTAAGTGAGCTAAAGAAAGGGCAGGATGTGACCAGAGGAGTCATGATGTACAGTTGGGCGAGCTGTACACTGCACAACTCTATGGGCCCCTGTTCTGTGGTGGCCATATGAATGGCGCTTCCTGGACCTATGTAGGAATCTGGCTATTCCCGGTGTCTCTCATCCAGGTTTCAGAGACAACTGGAAGCATGGAAGCAGGGTCTCAAATCCAGGAAGTCTCTCCTCTGAACTTGGAACCAAAGGATTGTCCGGGAATGGCTTGATATTTCCAACACCAAGGAGGGAATGCCTTGAGATCGTATCAGTTCTGGTTTCGAAATTTCTGGGATGGGGTTCTGATTGGCCTATCCGAGTTGGAGCCCCTCTTTCCATCACTCAGGAAACCAGATGGCTCAGGGTGAGGGTGTGATGGGGGGCGAACACCACATTCGGCTTAGCCTGAGTCCAGTTCCCACCCTCGGCCCAGCAGGCAGCGGCGGATGTCAGGGCCTGCCCTTTGGGAATTTGAAGCTTTCAGTCCCTGCTTATTGCCTTCACTTCTGTCAGCTCCTGGGGTCTCTGAGGAGCTAGACGCCACCCCAGAGAGGAGAGGATGTGGAAGAAAAGTCGCTCCAGCTCCAGAGTGGGTGTGAACCGAGCTAACCTCCTCCAGGACTTGCACTTGATGGAGTTTAAAGAGTTTTGGCAGAGTGGGAGCTAAACTCATATTTTGAATACTTGAGATGTGATGATTCCTGTGTAGATGACTCTGAACTCTCCCTGTGTCTTAAAGGCAAAACCTGCCGATTCTCTTTCCAAATCAACTGCTCGTTCACGCTTGGGCACTTCCTCTTTGGAGGGGCCAGGGGGGAGAACCAACAGTGTCATCGTTGTATCTGCTTTCTGTCCCTACCTCCTGGCCTCCTGCCTCCAACACCAGTCTGGAGGGTGCGTCCCCTCTCATCCTGTAATCCTGCCAGCCCTCCTGGGACTGTCTTCGCACCTGCTTTGAGCCCCTAACTTTGCACCCCAAGTCTGATCGGTCACCATCACATCGGCATTCAAACATTCAAGCCAGAGGGGGAATTCTCGGCTACCCTGGAAGAGATGGGGGTGAGGCAGGGTGTGGAACGAGGGAAAGCAAACCCAGTTGTATCCTGGGACCCTGGAGTCCACACGTAACAAGGGAGGCCAATGAGTGCTAATGACCAAAATTAACAGTAATCAGTTACGAGCATGGTCATTTTGCTTTTGCAGTCAGCCTGGGAAAGACGACCCAGACGACTTGTTTTCATTCCGGGTCAGGAGAAATGGGACACCAGCCGGGGCTAATAAGAGCTTTCATGAAAGCGCTGAGCTGCGTCCAGCGCTGTGAAGAAAGCCCTCTCTGTTCTGCGGCCCTGCCCGGCCGTGCCGTGGCTTCTGCTTTTTAACAAGACTGAAAGGTGGGGAGACACACAGTGCTGGCCTTGGCAGTGGGTGAACTTGGCCTCTGAAAAGGCACTGATTCTTTTCCATGGGCCAGCATGGGGAGTGTTGCTTCCTTCACCCCCCAGTCACCATGTGCCTCTCTGTTCCCGCACCCATGATGGAGCTGAGAGGCTGTTTGGCAGTGCTGGCTGACCCGGGCAGAGGGTATGGGCAGGGACGCATGCCAGGGCAGCCTGCAGAGACCGGCTTGGAAAGGGAGATGGAGGGAGAGAAAGTTTCGGTACCAGGAGGCCGTGCGTGCTGCCCTGGGCACCAGGAGCCCCGGCTCGCTAAGGTCGGCCTGCCGGCTCTTCCATGCCTCGTGGCGTATATCCCCAAGCCTGGGGCAGCCCTGCAAGCCCCTCACAGCCCTGCACACTCAGCACGGTGGGCATTTCATGGGAGTCTTCACTGCTGGCTGCCTCAGTTTGCCTCCCTGTCTCTGTGTCTTTCTCGGTTTCTACAAAGAAACTAAAGGTCTCTGACGTGGCTACCAGGCTGCACCGTCAAGGAATTTAAGGACTGGGGGAGCAAAGTTCTGATCGAGACGGCAGATCCAAGACTCACTATGGAAACATGGAGTCAGGTCTCGGCTCCGGTCAGTGGATCTCAGCCAGAGGTGAGTTTGTGTCCCTTGCAGGGCAGGGGTGGGCGGGGGAGAGGGAGGTTGTTTGGGTTGTCACAGCTGGTGTGGGGGATGTGACGGGGCATAGTGGACAGAGGCGGGGAGGCTGCTGAACATCCTACAATGTACACAGAGACAAGGAGCTCATCCGTTATGTCAATAGCGCATGAGTCGTGAAAGTCTGGCTCCATTCCCGGATCAGCAAGGACCTAATCACCCCCCCCCCCCACCACCACCACCACCACTACCACACTGGCAGGGCTCCAGGGGGAAGACCGTGCGTGAAGGGGCAAGGACTCTGGAGGTACCTTGTACGTCAGGAATCTCGCAGAGAACAAAGCCAGCCAGAGGCAGGGCCATACACGTGCGTGGTGTCAAGATGGTTGGGCCCACAGTTGGAGATGATCCCTAAGGCACTGCTCTCCGTGCAGCCTTCATTGGGCAACAGCAGGCCAAGCCCCGTGCCAGGTGTTTCGCACAGTCGATCTCTTCCCCCGATACCACAGGGCTGCTAGGTTTCCATTCCTGCTTTACAGATGAGGAAAGGGCCATGCAGGAAGAGCAGGAGACTTCCTGAGGCCACAGCGCAAGTCCGTGGAGGAGCTGGGGTTAATGCGGCCCGATCTGTGCTCATTCTGAGCCTCCCTGGAATCTGTAAGCGGAACTGGAGACCCAGACGGGACCAAATGACACTGGCTGGACAGACTGATCCAAGAGGCCGCGAGAGTTTGCTACAAAGAGCACCGATCCTGGAGAGGTCTGGGGGAGACCAGAGAGGCTCCAGGGTTTGCGCGTTATGCGGGTTTTGCATGAAGTGGACATGAGTTCCATCACCAAATCCCCCCACAGCACATGTAAATGGTGCCCCTTGGGTCTTTAACTAGGTGACAGAACCCACCAGTTCACAGTCAAAAAAGAGAGCTTATGTAGACCTCACAACACTTCGAGAGATTCAAGAGGGGGATCCCGAAGACTATCGCTCACGGAATGCCAACCATGTGCCAAGCACTCGCTCTGCTAGACTCCCATAGAGACTCCTGCATGGCCTGCTTCTGGGATCCTACACAGTACCTTAGCTCCAGTCTCATGGACCAGAAAACAGAGCTTCACAGAACTTAAGCACAGCCAGGAGCAAAGCCAGCGACATGGAGCCCTCGGACTTACCCAAACCCCCTGCCCTGGTGCCTGGTGGGATCAGTCATTACTAAGGGGTACTGGGCTGTCGTGAGGACACAGGGGCATTGGAGGGACCCTCAGAGAAGACCCCCGAGGGATTCCACAGCATTCCTATGCAGCTCTCAGCACTTGTCAGACACACACGCCCAGGGAGTCCCAGCAGGGAGGCGGACATTGGCTTCCAACAAGCCCACACACAGAGGCGACTCTGGTCTCCATTCCATGGCCTCAGAAGAAAGGCCTGCTCTCTCTCTCTTTTTTTTCTGCATTGACCCAACCCAAGGTCAAGAAATGCTTCCATATAGACACTCTCAGGCTGCAGCCAATTTCCTCCTCGCTGCTCCAGAGGGGAGACGGAGAACAGCTGGCGGCCACCGTTCTCTGCAGATTTGTCATGGACCTGAAGACTCCTTATATAATCAGCCTTCCCCTTGGTGAAATCATCCCACTCCCTCCCAACTTTTCTCGGAGCTGATTTATTCTCCAAGTCTCCTATGCAATGTGTTGACCACTTTGGAAGTTCTCTGTGTTCCTGTCAAGGTGTAGAGCCCACACTGGACATGATGGAGAGCCCATCGCTCGGGAACAAATGTCTTCTCAGAAATGTGGTCAGACGGTCAATTCCTCGTCAAGCCAGCAGGTGACGGGGATGAGAGCTGGGGTTCCGATTCAAGCTCCTTCTTGTACACGCCATGCGAGCTCAAACAAATCATCTGGGCTTGCAAGTCTTCCTGTATCTCCGGGGCAGGGGGAATAATGACCTTCCTTCAAGGTTCCACGAGGAGACTTCACAAAGTGATGCAACATGTGGATTATGAAAAATTACATGGGTTTCCTATTTTTGCACCACAATAAACCTCTTTTCATTCCATTTTCTGCAATCTTTTGGAAATGCCTTCACACATAAAGTGCTTGACACCCCATGTCCCGGTAGGAACACTCTGCCCAGCAGCTGTCCTGCCTTTACTGTTGCCCCTCCCTTCCCCACCACGAAGTGGAGCTGCTTCATTGTTCATAATTCTTCTGACTCCAACGAGCAAATCAAACGCTGGAAGCTCCTCTCTGGGCCTGTCTTCCGTGCTGAAGAAGCAAGCCCTGGATGTGTCTACACCAGACAGCTCCCATGTCCCAAGGAGGTCTGCCGAGGGGCTCCTGCTTTGGGTGGAGAGCGGCTTGGTGGCTTCTAAAACTCCCCAGCATCCCCAAGATTCGGTTTCAAACCCAGTTGCACCTGGACTCTTCCCTCTCCTCCATTGTCCTCCAAGAAATTCAACCGGCTTTCGGTGGGGGAAAAGGAGGGCGGACGTTACTCTGTCTTCCTTGCAGCAGTTCCTCATCAGACATGAATGCCCCCCAAATTCCCCCTCTCCTGTGCTTCTCCTTTAGTCTTCCTTTACCAGAGTCTCCCCAAATTGCAACGCAGTTTTGCCAGCAAACTTGTCTGCTCCATCCAGGTCAGCTATACCGGGTAACAAGATCCACCCTCCTCCACGGGCAATTTAGAGACCATATACTCTTCCTATAGCCTGGCCTCTGGCTGGGTGGATCTGACTCCACCTGCAAAGGCACTTATCAGTCAATTCCTTTCTTCCACACAGAATGTTTTTCTGAGAAATTCCTAAGTAAAACAATTTTCCCCATCTTCTACACAATTCAATGATTTCTGTCTCCAGTTCCAAGAGCTTGTATTCCTTCCCTATAAGAAACTGTGTTAAGAAATAGTTATCTCTATATAATATTTTAGGAATCCCCTTGCTTTTTTTTTCTTAATGATTTATTTCAACAGAGTGAGAGAGAGGGAGTGAGACAAAGAAGAAAGAGATTTCTCCATCCATAGATTCACTCTGCAAAGGTTCACAACAGTCAGAACTAGGCCAGACTGAAGCTGGGAGCCAGGAACTTCATGGAGGTCTCCCGTGTGGGTGGCAGAAACCCAAGTACTTGGGCCACTCCCCAAGTATAGCAACAGGAAGCTAAATCAGAAGCACAGAGTAACCGGGACTCAAACTGGCCCTCATAGGGGATGCAGGTATCGTAGGTGCAGCTTAACCTGCCACACCACCATGCCAGCCCCTCCGTTGCATTTTTTTTTCTAATCTATGTTCTCTGATGATTTTCATCTGAACATTTGCAGCCTCTCATAGAGCTAGGCTGCAGCCCCACAACTGGCCCACAGGTGGCAGTAGCTCACATGCTTAGACAGATGAGCCAAGATTTGAGGTTTCAGGTTATGTGGAATGAATTAGCTGGAAAACTGAAAAATTACTGAATGATCTTCCAGGAAAAGGGAGTCACTGAGCGCGACTGGCTCCTGCCAAGGCTCTAGTTCACAGCGCACTTTCCCCCTTGATTTACGTTGTGGGTTTCACCGAGATCCCAGCCCCACAGCACCGGTCAGCCTCTTTCGGTCCTTCCTGCCGGGTTGCAGTCAGCGAGTCTTTCCAGTTGCTCTTGGGTCACATGTCAGGGAGACCTCCAAGGGCAGCAAGACCCCACGACGCAATGAGTTTGTTATTAAGTCACAGGCGTGGCCCTCTGTTGAAGGAAGTTGGCCTCCTGCCTCCGGAATGCAGTGTGATTCCTTCTCAGCCCAAAGACAAGGCTTAAGCTGCACACTGCTCAGAGTGCCGTCCAGGTAGAAAAACCCACTTCTGACTCTTTATAAAGCCCCCTTCCTAGTTAGAATTTTTACCAGCATTTGCAAAGCAGCTTTGCAGCAAATCAGAGGAGACTGGTGTTCGACAGTACTGGGAAAACCAAGCTGGCCAGCGTCGTGTTTTCATTCAGAACCGTGATCAGATGATGGAAGCTTTCACCAGACTCTTGTCTGCCTCAGCTTCAGCCAGGCAGAGAAGCGAGGCTGTGGTGAGAGGGGAGAGTCAGCTGATGGTCTTCTGGGTGCACTTTCGACAGGAGTGGCCTCTTAAAGCTGCTGGGCGGGACTTCCGGTAGAATATAACTCACCAACCACAACACAGCTTGACGAACAGTCAAATCTCTGTCCATGGGGCCAGAGGCACAGGGTGCTAGGCTGCCACCTGCCACGCCAGCATCTCTTTTGAGCCACAGTTCAAGTCCCAGCCTCTCCACATCTGATCCAGCTCCCTGCTAACGCTCCTGGGAAAGCAGCAGAAAGTGGCTCAAGTCCTTGGGCCCCTGCCACCCATGTGGGAGACCCGGATGGAGTTCCTGGTCCTGCCCTAGACATTTGAGACCATTGGGGGAGTGAACCAAAGGGCAGAAGATGCCCGCCCTCCTCACCTTGATGTCACTCTGTCTTTCAAATAAATAAAATAAATCAATAAAATCAAATAAAATCTCTGTCCTACATACAAGGGGTACTTCAAAAAGTTCATGGAAAATAGAATTAAAATATGTTTATTTTGGTGCAAAAAGTTTTGAAATTCATAACTTTTTCCTTTTTTGTGATTGTTACATTTTTATTTGTTAGTATATAGAGAACAAATTTCATGAATTTTATAGATATGATTCCAAGAATACAATGACCCTTTCCTCCCTCCCTCCTTATTTCTTTCTTTTCTTTCCTTTTCTCTTCTTTTCTTTTTTTGTGATAGCATACTTTTTTTTTATTTGACAGGTAGACAGAGAGAGAGACAGAGAGAAAGGTCTTCCCTCCATTGGTTCATCCCCCAAATGGCCGTTGTAGCCAGCGCTGCGCCAATCTGAAGCCAGGAGCCAGGTGCTTCTCCTGGTCTCCCATGCAGGTGCAGGGCCCAAGCACTTGGACCATCCTCCACTGCCTTCCCGGGCCACAGCAGAGAGCTGGACTGGAAGAGGAACAACCAGGACCAGAACCCAGCGCCCATATGGGCTGCCGGCACTGCAGGCAGAGGATTAGCCAAGTGAGCCACGGCACTGGCCCTGATAGCATACTTTCAGTTTACTTTATAATCACAGGCTCAGTGCCCCTCTAAACAAAGAGCTCTACATGATACACATTTTCCATGAACATTTTCAAAACCCTTCATCTATATCGCTTCTTGGCCTCTTGGCTAAGATCAAGTGCAAAATCCTTCATCCATTTGGATGTCAACATTTTTTTACACCAAAATAAACTCAGATGCTATTTCATGTTCCACAAACCTCCTGAAATACTCCTGAATTTCCCTGAGGCAGGTTCCTCCCTTTCTCTCTGGCGTTAGCATGTGAACTGTTTATTCCCACCAAACGCACCCATCAGAGCAGGCAGGAAATGATGTCAGAGCACCTTGACAAAGCTTGCTGACTCATGGTTCCTGAGCAGCCAGTCCCACTGAAGGCTTTTGTGGGAAAGCACCTGCCCACTGCTAGGATCATGCAGTGAAATGATGAAAGGGCGCCTGGAGGAAGCCACGGGTACTGAGGAGCTGAACTTCGCAGACACGTGTTCATGTGCTCAGTATTCCCTCCCTGCGCTGCTCAGCTGTTCTGGCCTTGCTGGTGTCAGGCCTCGGCTGTGGACAGAGCGGTGTTTACTGTGTTCCGGTACCTGCAGGCTGCATGGCAGACTACTCCAACCCCGAGCCCCTGCAAACAGCCACCTGATGATAGTCCTGTGTGCCCTGGGGCAAGAACCCTAACAAGTAGGGTTCAGAAAGCAGCTCCAGCGTCATCTAGTGTTGATGTCACGGTAGAACTCTACCTCCCACCCACAACGCTGCAGCTCTGGAAAGCCTGGGCCTCTCTGGGATTTCTGCAGCCTCTGCTTCTCCCCTGCTAAGCTGGAACTGCTCTGTGCAAACGCAGGGTTGACGCCTTGATGTCTGGGACTCACCCAGGGGAGACTCAAAGCCAGGAGATGATGTGACAGCTGGTGAAGGGAACCATCTAAACGTCTGCATCAGAACGACTTGAAGGTATTAGTGCTGTGGTGCAGCAGGTTAAAGCCATGTGCCGGCATCCCCTATGGACACCAGTTCGAGTCCTGGCTGCCCCACTTCTGATCCAGCTCCCTGATAGTGTGCCTGGGAAAGCCGTGGAGGATGGTTCAAGTGCTTGGGCCCCTGCACCCACGCTGTAGACCTGGAAGAAGCTCCTGGCTCCCGGCTTTGGCCTGGCCCAGCCCCAGTCCAACCCCAGGTGTTGCAGCCATTTGGGGAGTGAACCAGCAAATGGGAGACCTTTCTCTGTGTGACTCTGCCTTTCAGATTAATAAGAAAAATATTTTAAAAAATAGGAATGACGCAATGACCAAGCCTGCCAACCGGAGCACCTCCTTGTGGCTGGGGTTTTTCACAGCACAGCAGCCTCCCACGCATCTTAGTACGTGTTCTGTTGCTATAATGGAATACTGGAGACCAGGTAACCAACAAGGCAAGAAGTTAATTTTGGTTCATGGACATGTAGGCCGGGAAGTCTAGGAGTGCAAGGTCTGTGAGGTCCTACTGCTTCCCCATACAGTATAAAAGCAGAAGAGCAAGTGGGCATGCATTGGGGACACCACATGAGAGGTAGCCTTGTCATGTAATAACCTCTCGCCATAATTCATTCAGTCCCCCAAGCATGAGACATGACTCTCCCAAGGAAGGGATTACGAGAGATTCATCTTAACCACCACCCAGCGCTGCCATGTGGCAACCAAAGTTCAGCATGAGGTGCCGAGGAGCAAACCACAGCAAGCATGGTAGCAGAGGGCTCAAGTGCAAGTGTCCCGTGAGGCAAGACGGAAGCCTCATTGCTCTTCCTGGCTGCAATGTGGGATGTAACATGGACTCCTCTGTCATATCCTATTGCCCCGGGAGGGCAGTGGAGGATGGCCCAAGTCCTTGGGCCCTGCACCCGCATGGGAGACCAAGAGAAGCAGGAAAAACCCACACGCACATAAAGGGAGGAGACACAGGTGCCCCTCCCCAAGGAAGGAGAGCCAAAGTCACATTGTGAAGTGCACTGCAATCAGATACCTTGGTGCACTCATCCTCAGAGAACAGATTGGCTGCTCACTGCTCATACACAGTCAGAGTATGGATGTCACACTCCCGTGTGCATTAGTCGTTGTCCTTTCATTCATTCATTCACTCACGTGTAACCCAGAAAGCAGCTCCAGCGTCATCTAGTGTTGATGTCACGGTAGAACTCTATCTCCCACCCACAACGCTGCAGCTCTGGAAAGCCTGGGCCTCACTGGGATTTCTGCAGCCTCTGCTCTCCCCTGCTAAGCTGGAACTGCTCTGTGCAAATGCAGTCACTTGGGGGGGGGGGGTGAGCAGTTGGAGGATTTGCATTGTATCCTTCATGCAAACAGCTTACTTTTTTTAAAAAAAGAATTTAGGCCGGTGCCGCGGCTCACTAGGCTAATCCTCCGCCTGTGGCACTGGCACCCCGGGTTCTAGTACTGGTTGGGGCGCCGGATTCTGTCCCGGTTGCTCCTCTTCCAGGCCAGCTCTCTGCTGTGGCCCGGGAGTGCAGTGGAGGATGGCCCAAGTGCTTGGGCCCTGCACCCGCATGGGAGACCAGGAGAAGCACCTGGCTCCTGCCATCGGATCAGCGCAGTGTGCCAGCCACAGTGCACCAGCCGCAGCGGCCACTGGGGGGTGAACCAATGGCAAAGGAAGACCTTTCTCTCTGTCTCTCTCTCTCTCACTGTCCACTCTGCCTGTCAAAAAAATTTTTTTTAATTTTAAAGATTTATTTTTTAATTTATTTGAAAGGCAGAGTTACAGAGAGAGAAAGAGGAGATGAGACAGAAAAAGAGAGAGAGTTTCCATCTGCTGGTTCATTCCCAAAATGGCTGCAATGGCCCTGGCCGGGCCAGACCAAAGTCAGGAGCCAGGAACTTCTGGTCTCCCACATGGGTCCAGGAGCCCAAGTACTTGGGTCATCCTCTGCTTCTTTCCCAGCCAATTAGCAGGGAGCTGGATCACAAGCAGAGGAACCGGGTGTTGAACCAGTGCCCATAAGGGATGCCAGCATCACAAGTGGGGGCCTAACCTGCTACGCCACAATGCTGCCCCTTGCAAACAGCTTACATACTCATCTCTCTGTTCTCTGTTGTCCTTTCCCACATCCCCCAAATATGCACACATACACATGCGCGCACACACACACACACACACGGCCTGATACTCCTCCCCCTTCCCACCCAGCCTCTGTGACTTCTCTTCCCATTCCCCAGTCCCCACGCAAGGGCCCCTCAGCTCCTTCACCTACTGTGCGCACAGCCAAGTAGTGTTCTGCCTACTCCCTGAGATGTGCACACAGAAGCTTTCAGATATACTGAGCAGAGCAGGCACATTCCAAGACCGCAGCCCACTCACCTAGGACTCGATCACTCATTCAGCAAACATTGATTGGGCACCAACTGTGTGCCAGCACTGATTGACACAGAGAGCACAAGACCATAGCATAGGCCTCTCTGAATTCTACCAACTTCTCTCTCACTGTAGAAACAGGTTTGGAAATAGTAAGCACGTGGTCTTGCGCTACACCTCTTGCCTTGACAGAGCCCTTTTGCTTCTGCATGAGATTCTGGCATAGAGCATGAGCTCCATACCCCAGCCTGCAGTCACTTACAAACCACCTTTATGACCTTCTGCTACAAGCATGTGCCACCTGTGTTTTGTTGGCTTTAGAGAAGACTTTAACATGACTCACTTTCTTTGCTGACAATTTAAAAAAATTTATGTCACCACCACAAGTGGAAAACTATAATCCTTTGCCATAAATAGGAGACAACCCTAAAATTAGACTCAATTTTGAAATTCCCCTGTGAAACGTTAGCTAACTACAACGACTTGAGGCCATGCCAGCTGTCCCTTTGTTAAGAAGGGAGTCTGGGACGTATTGGATTGGGTGGGGGAGAGACAGTCTGGCAGTCTCCCGAGGTTCACCCCTGGCTGTCACACAGACAGTTCAAAGCAGGGGATTCCGGGTAATTGAACGCCATTTCTGCAGGCCATCTGCAGTCACCTCCAGTCACCACCAATGGTTTCCAACAGGATCAGCCAGGATGACCAAATTTTGCTGTAGTAACACATAGTCCTCAAATCTTAGTAGCCTAAAACACAAGGAGAATTTCTCACCTACACGCACCATTGGGTTGATGAAGTCCCAGTTCATTCTCTTTGCTTAGGGTCCCTGGCTGAAACCATCTGGACTTTTGAGGTTCCTGTGGCAGATGAAAAAGAGAGTGTCAGAAGCACACCCTGGCTCTTTTTTTTTATTTTTTGACAGGCAGAGTGGACAGTGAGAGAGAGACAGAGAGAAAGGTCTTCCTTTGCCGCAGCCTCCAATGGCCCCCGCGGCTGGCGCGCTGCGGCCGGTGCACCGCACTGATCCGATGGCAGGAGCCAGGTACTTATCCTGGTCTCCCATGCGGGTGCAGGGCCCAAGCACTTGGGCCACCCT